ACCTTTTAAAAAGCTTTCTTGTTGAGAACAAGGACCTTGTTTTCCATGCTGTTCATGTGATGTTAAATATAAACATAATTAATAATAAAAAAAAACATAAAAAAATATCTATTTTATGTCATACAGTAAATAAAAATTTGATCATTAAGTGTGTAAATAAAAATGGTAAAGAATTATATCTGATATATGTTAAATGGATATTTTTTTGTGCATTTTTTAATGAAAACCCAAACTAAAAACATGAAAACATTTGCATGAATACACTTTAAAAGTAGAAGCTTACATTAACTATTACTGTAGATACCCAATATTTCATGCATCACTGTAACAACAGGTACTTAAATCTAGACTTTTCTGATTATTTCATTTGTCCAGTGTTAAACGGTTTATCCTTAACTTGTTATTTACAGTTGATGTAATTAGAGTTTAAATCTGCTGGGTAATAATTACAGACACACCGCCGTTTGCTTTACGTTGTTGCTCTGTTTCTATTGATGTATTGTTTTTTTATTGTTATTTTCATTATTATCTTGGACATGCTATAGTACCACAGTGAAATAAGTAAAAAAGAAAAATAATTTTTTTTTCTTGTAAATATTTTACCTTAAAAAATAATCAGAATTAAAGTCTTATGAAATAGACCCTGACATATTTGCACCCACATATTTGGCCGTCATGGCCAACAATTAAAATAAATTAACAAATTAACAATTAACAACAAAAAAAAATTCTGCTATAATCATAAGGAGTAAAACCTTTTCTTTTAAATAGCAACGGTTGTGCAGCACCATAAAGGTTTAAAGCTGATAAAAGTCAACAAAACAAAGCAACTAATAGAATGTTAGAACAGCAATTCTGTACAGCTAGTTTTGAAATAGAGCTTTTCCTACCTGTAAAACGGTTGGCTTCAGGCTGCTGCCTTTCTGGGCAGCTTCTGTCTGCAACGACTCCCTCTTGTAATTGTCTTATATACGGCCCTCCCCTCTCTGTTCCCCAATGCCTCAGTGAGTTCTGACCTTTAAAACTTTGCCACCTTGCATAATAAAGCAGAATTCTGTTAAACAATGAGTGTTGCAGAAGTATTCATACTCCTTTAACTTTTTCCATATTTTCTGAAGTTACAAACACATTTTTTTCTAAGTAATATTATATGATGTCATTAAATAGTAGTACACATATATGAAGAAGAGGGAAAATTAATGAATGCATTTATGTTATTTAGCAAATGAAAATCTGAAAAGTGTGGCCTGCATTTGCTTTGAATTTATTGAATGAGTTATGTTTTCCCAGATTTAGGGTTAGGGAGGTTCTTTTAATAACTCAACTCGTTACAGTCAGAATTCACCTAATTTACTATGCAGTAGTAGAGGATGTAATCCAGCCATCCAACCATTTTCCATCATTCTTATCCCCGCTTGGGTTGCAAGAGGTGCCTATCTCCAGCTGTCTATGGGTGAGAGGCGGGGTACACCCTGGACAGGTCGCCAGTCTATCACAGGGCAACACAAAGAGTAACCATTCACACGCTCACACTTAAGGAGAATTTAGAGAAGCCAATTAACCTTGCAGTCATGTTTTTGAACTGTGGGAGGAAGCAAGAGTAGCCGGAGAGAACCAACACATGCACAGGGAAAACATTCCAATTCTATGCAGAAAGACCCCGGGTCAGGAATTGAACCCAGAACCTTCTTGCTGCAAGGTAGCAGTGCTACCCACTGTGCAGCTCAACTGATAATAGTTCAGTACTTTAAAAAGTAACATTACTAATCATATACGGTTACGTTGTAAGTATTTTTCATCCCTTTCAATCTTTGGTGGTGTACTGTACCTATATTTATATAATTGCTTAACCTTGCAGGGTGTATTTTTTTCCTTTGGTAAATGCGATGTGCTTCTATAAACTATCCGGATGCCGCTCCATTTTCTTTGTCTTATCATCTCATTATTTTCGCAATCCTGCAAAATAGGTCTTACACATGTGAAGGAAAATGTTGCTGCTATGTGGTTCCATAGTAATAAGGTAATCCTGGTGGGATTTTTATCATCTTTTTTTAAATTCTCACTTTTTTATTATTTTTCTTCCCTATTGTACCTGAAAGTGCTTGGTTCTGGCTGTTTTATATTCTCCTTCCCTTTGAAGGAATTCTTGATATGATGAGATCAATTCCAGTAATTATTGTAGACTATGTTTCATCTTTCCCTAATTCTGCTGGTTGGTTCTCATAAAATCAAAGTAAATATTATGGAATAAAATAAGCTATGGATGGAAATCTGTGAAGAAAAAATTTGAAGTCTCAGCAGTGTTTGCTAATTGAATTTTGGTCTGTAATGGTGGTTATCCCACATTAATATTTGTTAACCTGAGCTGCTCTATTGTGGCTCTGCTGTATGTTTAGGCTTGTCCTCCTGCTGGGGGTTAAACCTCTGCCTCAACCTCACGTTTTTTGGCTGTATGTACCTGTTTTTTTATTTTATTTTTACTCCATGCACCTTCATGTTGACTTTAAGCAGCCTTTCTGTAAATAAAAAGTTAGTTTAGTTAGGTTTATAGCTAAGGGCTTTTTCACTCCAAATAACAACCATCATGCATCATGTACCCAAATATAACATATGAAGTTTGGATGAAGAAACACAAATCTGTTTCACAATCTTCTAACCCTGATTTAGTCCTCTATATGTTTATCGGTCAGCTCCCCACGTATGTTCCTTAATCTTTATCACTCTGTGACGTCTGAGGATAACTAGTTGTGTTGGATTTTATTTAGATACATCTAGAACAAATGCCTGAAATGCAAATGACACTTTTCAGATGTTTTCTTTGCTAAAAAGAAACATAAAAAATGTCATATATTCCTGAAAATGAATATATATATATATATATATATATATATATATATATATATATATATATATATATATATATATATATATATATATATTCAGCACAGACTTATTGGTGCTATTTTTTGCCCCATACAACCTCAGCATTAAGCTGTCTCAATAACTGCAAGGCTTTTACACCTCTATCCAACAGGTCAGACAAAAATATTACCAAAATTCCATCATAATTAATTTTATTTAACATCATTTTAGATAATTCCTAATTTTTTTAATGATCTTTGGCAAATTTTATAACTACTAACTTCTAGAAACTGCTTGAAACAACAGCAGGTGGATCCTTAAAAAACTAAAATCTTTACTAAATGTGGAATTACAGCCCCAGTTATGTTTATTTTTTAATAATATCTGCCTACTTTGACACTTTAACGTGTAGGAAATCTTAAAAATATTTATTTTTCCTCACGAGGAGTGGTTCTGGCTCTTCATGTCAAATTTTTGATCGTTACCTGTTCCCTTCAGGACATGAAGGGACAGATTAAGAGCTGAATAGTTAAGTACACTTTATCTCTTTCCATGCGGCTGATCTCCTGTAAAGACTTCAAGGCTTCTGGGATCTTATATCACATACTGCAGATCTTCAAGCAGGTGATCCTTGGACACATGTCTGTTTGTAAACATAAACGGAAAAAAAATAATAATTTTTTACCTGATACATTGAAGGAAGGGGCTGTGTGAGACGTTGAACCTTCAAGAACAGAAGGTGGATGATCATTTAGATATAAATTCGGGGAAAGTGAGAGAATATATCTTTCTGGTAAACATGTTTTGTTTGCAAGTTGTAAAATCCACTCTTAGATGTGGAAAGTAATTGGAAAAAGCTGTAATATCTGAAGCAGAAATGGAGACCAAACTATTAAAATATAAAGAAATCATGGACTGTTTAAAACATTAATATGCTAACAGGTTATAGATAACTTTTTTGGAGGTTTGAAAGTGTTGAATAGAAAGTCCGAAAACTAACAAGATCTATTTTTTAAAGGGTTTTCATCTACACTCCATGAAAAGGTCACCAGCTTCCAGATTCATAATGCTCTTCATGGGCTACAGGAGTAAGTATCTCCTTTGACTTCCAGCGGGAAAGTCTTGGGTTTAAATCCTGCCTTTGGATCTTTTTGCCTGACGTCTGCATGTTTCCCTGTACATTTGTGGGTTTTCTGCAGGTACTATGAGTTCCTTCTACAGGCTATAACTATTATTATTTTCTGTCTCTAGGACAGTTTGTTGGGACTGTTGTGAGTCCCTATGTTGCCATATAATCGACCGACAGCCTGTCCAGGGTGTATCCCTCCTCTCACTTAATGCCCACCAGAGATAGGCCCCAGCCCCCTGCGACCCGTCAAGGATAACTGGTGTAGACAGTAGATGCATTATCCTGATAATGATCCTAACTGGGTGCTTTGCTGGAATCTTTGTATACTAGGGTTTCAAAATCATTTTCTTTTAAAGGAATCACTTTGTTCCATTTTGTCTATCTTGCTTTTAAAATCTTGAAACCAGAGAAAATGCTGCAGTTTTACAGTTGTGAGGAGCATCAATGAAAGCAGGACAGATTCTCACTCACCAGTCGCTGCACACTGCCTGTCAGCTGGTTGAAAGAAGGAAACAACACCTTTCCTTCACCATTAAAACAGAATAGTATGGCTTCTTTCTTTTTAATAGATCTGAAGTGATGAAAAACGATCAGGAATATATTGTTGTTTACAAACTCCAGGTCATGTGTCTGTAAAGCAGCTAACTGCAGGCTAGTAGATAGCCCAACATAAGAAAAAAAAAACATAACATTTGGCATATCCGATATTAGAGAAATAAAACTAAATTTTTACACAAACATAAAGAAAATCTGTATGTTTGTGTTGCTATAGTTCATGTGCACAAATCAAAATTCTATGTAAACCAATCTGTTAAAGAATTATTACAAGCCTTTAGATGTTTATTTTGAGGTGTAAAAACTGTGCAGGCCTTCACTTATCCTCAGATAACACACCTGCTGTGATTCAGTTTGCACGTTGACCAGCATGTCCATCTTGAAATACACCTTGTATTTATAATAAGCCATCCTTTATCTCACCTATTTGTGGCTGAGCTGGTGCAGGGGAGGGTTTTGAAGAGGTGCCAATTCTAAGACTGACAGCAGGATTAGCAGCTCGCCGACTTTAAAAGCAGGTGCTCAGACTGGGAGAGGAGAAACAGATCGACAGCAGAGAAACAGAAAAGCTCATCCGACGGCTCCTGAGAAACGCTGAACGAAAAGGTGAGAGGATTCTACATTTTACTCAGCTCTTAAACAAGGCGTTAGGACTTCTGCTGCTTTGGCGACATGTGCTACATAGAAAAAGAAAAATGCTACAGAGATTTCTTGATGAAGATTTCTGAATAATGCATTTTTTGCAGGGTTCTTCACCCACTTAAATGATTGATGGTTAAAGCATATTTTTCCTCATGTGATTGGCTCTCTGCTTAATATCTAAAAGTGTTTGTGAGGTTTTAAGGCTCAGCATCATTGAAAGAAAAATGGCTGTATTTAACCGTCTCCTTTGTCTCTTTCAGTAACCAAACATAATGGCAGACGTTGCAACTCCCGCTGACAAAAAGGCCCCTCCTAAATTCAAGCAGAGAACCACTCGTACGTTCAAGAGCAAGGCACCCAAGCCAGGCCAGAAAGGGTGAGAACCTGAAGGACTCTTTTTAATCTTTTAGACCAGTTCTTCTTTTTTTTCTCTTTTCTAATCAAAGCTTCTCTTTCTCTTTGATTCAGTTTTGGGGATGATATTCCAGGCATGGAGGGTCTCGGCACAGACTTCTCAGTGGTCTGCCCTTGGGAAGCCTTTGGAGACATGGAGCTCAGCGACTTGGCGAAATATGGAATTGTTTAGCCCTCCTTCCTTTGCCTTTACCCTTCTTGCCACTATTCTCCCCTAAGTGGTCCTAATATTGACTCACAGGCGAGTAATCTATTACCTTCATGCTGCACAGATGAAGCAACATTTGGTGTTGTAGAGGTTTGACCTGGACACAAAAGAGGAATCCCTTATGCACTTTACTTTTTCCCTGCCTTTCCGCACATATTTTTTAAATCTTGTCCTCCTCCCTACCTTCTTCCTCCCATCTCCATCATCCTTATACCCAGTTTTTCAGCACAATAAGGAAGAAATTTGTAAGAATGTGTAAGACTGTATATTTTAATTGTAAAAAAAAAGAGTTTTTTATATGTTTTACTGTGATACCTCAGGAGTATTCCATTCTTCTCCTCTTACACCCATTATTTGAGGCTGCTGATTCAACATGCACCGATGTCTGCTGTTGTACAGCATATACTCACGCTGGTCTTCCATCAGAAATATGTAAATCACATTATGCTTTAGCGATGGGCACCATCTTTGTCTGAGTCGGGAAAACGGCTGCGGCAAAAGCAATAAATGTGAGTGCTTTGCACAAAATCTCTGTCTCTGTGTCGTTTTTACCACATAAGGTTTTGCTTGCTTTGATCATTGAAGCCTTTGGGAGTCAGTGAAGCAGAAGCTATAAGATTATAAACTATAGTTCTTCTGCTGCCACTTATGGCAGATTGTTGAATACTTTGATAAACAGCTCAGGCATCCATCTCTCCATTTTTTAAATACCTGCTTAACCTAGATTAGGGTTTGAGAGTTACACGATAATTTCCTTTATTTAAATAATTATTAATATATCAATAATTTCTTTCACTGTTTTTTTTTTTTATATATAAAAAAGGAATACAACCAAGAATTGAAATAGGAAAAAAACATATATCTGAAAGATAAAAGATTCAAAAGCTTCTATTCATTTCAAAGCCTCTAATGTGGGTGTTACATGTGCATCATATTGTTATTCTTGATAAAATACAACCTTTCATGTATTTAGAAGTTACAGTTTTTCTAAAGATTAAAAATGTGTTTGTAGTGTTTGGCTCCAGATATTCATTAGGAATTCCTTCATGAGGAATGTCGACGGCTCATTGAATTAAGACAGTCAGAAGCTCAGCTCATTCATCCATTGTAATTCTCTCATTACTGCAGACCAATCCCAAATCCATCTATCCTCGTCTTTCTTCAATGCTTCATGGGTGATAAACGAAACCAGGATAGTTGACTTTTTCTGTAGATCAGAGTGTCATGATCTGGCCTGTTTGCTCTGCCTTAATTAGTAGTCCCTCTCACCTGCCCTCTTCCTTCCCTGCCTCAATTATAATTTATTCCCCTCACCTGTTTCCTCTGGGTTATATTCAGTTCATCCTGAGCATTCAGGGCCAGATCATTGCTTGTCTTTTTGTTAGTCTGTCTGTTCACTTTGATTTGATGGTTCATGTCCTGGATCCT